CAGTTTGTAGCACGCTGACATAAAAACTGGTCAGCATAGTTTCGTTGGCAAATGACTTTGAGACTGAAATACCCCTCTGATGTCCTGATGGTCATCCTGGGTGGCTCTCACGGCAACAGGACAAAGGTGAAAGCAATGTGTCCGCTGCCATCCGGCTTAATTCCACCCACCCTTAGGAATCATAAGGCTGGGGTGCGCAGTCTGGGTCTTTCAAATGACCCCATGTGGGCAAATTATGGATAACATTATCTGCATAAAATTTATACCGTTATTTGTATAAACAGATTTTAAAGCTCATTTAGTTACTATAAAGGGCAGTAGCAACAAGTCACCATATTTAGCCAACATATTGGCTGGGACATTGTTAAAAACAGTCCAACTAGAAAAAGCACTGTGGCGAAGTTAGAGTGCCAGTCTCTGGGGCCAGGCTTGCTGTAGGAGTCATCTATCACGCCTTGGTCTCTGGACTACTGGCACATGTCAAGCCCCTCACACAGGGGGTAAACTCTTCAGGATAACCTAGGGAGCAGCGTCTCAAGTTGGAAAATATAAACTGATGCTTTTATCTGTGTTTGCCAACAGATTCTCAAAAAAAAAAAAAAGAAAAGAAAAGAAAAGAAAGAAAGGAAAGAAAAGAGAAAAAAGGTTTCTTCAAAAAGTGAATTTCAAGAAGGCCAACAAGCTGGCGCAGTGCATAAAGGTGCTTGCGGCCAACTCTAAGGGCCTGAGTTCAGCCCCTGAAGTCCCACATGATAGAAGGTGAGAACTAACTCTTGACAGTTGTCCCCTGACTTTCACACTCACATCATGGCATGGACAGCCATGCACCCCACGACCCCTAACACAACACAAAATGGAAGTGGGTTTCTAGGCTGGAAAGACGGCTCAGTGGTTAACAGTGCTTGGTGCCCTTGCAGAGGGGCTTGGCTTGGTTCCCAGCACCCAGCTGGGGCAGCTCACATCTGCCTGTAATTGTAGTTCCAGGGGACCTGGTACCCCTTTTTTGCCTCTGCAGGCACACTTGTACTCACGTTCACATTACCACTACCACCCCCTACATACACCAAAGACATGATTAAAAATAATTTAAAAATTAAGAAAAAGTGTTTCCCCACAACACTGAAAATGTTGTATTTATGTGTCTGCATTTACATACCACTTTGTTTATTAAAGAGAAAAATATGTGGTCCTTGTTCTGTTCGAAGAGTAGGTATCTTGTTTCTGTTTAAAAGAACTTTGTAAGTGGGTATAAGATATACTCTGTAAGTGTATAATATCCGTATATCTTGGTGAGTGTTTACATCTGCATATACTGAGAAGAGACTAAGGCTAGCATTTGAACCCCAAAGGGTTCCCACCCCACCAAAGAACCACTGTGTTGACTTCCAGCACCACCAGTCAGTTTGACACTTAGAAATCCCGCCCGCTCGTGAGATAGGGGTCAGCTGCTCTCACAGAGAAGGCTTCAGACTCCAGGCCCACGGAGCCCCAGGTCCAAGGAGCCCCAGGCCCACGGAGTCCCAGGTCCACGGAGTCCCAGGTCCACGGAGTCCCAGGCCCACGGAGCCCCAGGTCCAAGGAGCCCCAGGTCCAAGGAGCCCCAGGCCCACGGAGTCCCAGGTCCATGAAGTCCCAGGTCCACGGAGCCTCAGGCCCATGGAGCCTCAGGTCCATGGAGTTCCAGGCCCATGGAGCCCCAGGACCACAGAGCCCCAGGACCACGGAGCCGTATCTCCTGCTGATCTCTGCCTCTCTCTCTCCTTGACCCACCTCTGAACTCAGGTGTATTCTCCTCCTCCCTTTATTTACATCGTGATAATACATACACACACAACATGAAGCTTTCCTGTTGGTCACTTCTCCTGCCACCTTGACAAACACCCGAGGACAGCTTGAAGGGCCAGTTACTTATTTTGACTTACGGTTTTTAAGGTTTCAGTCTAGAGCTCTGGGCTCCGTCGATCCTGGGTCTGTGCTGAGGCAGAGAGCCCTGGTAGTGGGAGGATTCGGCTCATGTCACGGCGACAGGACACAGAGAAGGGGAATGGACGTCCTAGCAGGATGCATTCTCCCCGCCATTTACTCCATCGAGATCTGCAGCTTCTGGGACGGAGCCACGCACACAAGGCAGGCCTTCCCCCTTTAGTAGAGACTTCCTGGGAATGCCTTCAGATCCACCACTTTACCAATCTCTCCATCTAATGGAGTTGACAAGATCAGCCACCACGGTAACTGGTTCAATGGTGCTGGTTATATTCACAGTGTTAGGTAACTGAAGTCACCACCTACCTCTAAACTTCTATGGAAACCCTGTCCCCACTGGACAGTATCTTCCCAGCCTCCACTTCCCCAAGAACCAATGTTATATCTGTTACACCCTTTTCTCTTTGAATTGGCCTATTCTTTAAAAACTTTTTTTTACACTTATTTATTTAGCGTGTGTTGGGGTGGGGTGATGCCACAGGTGTGCAGTGGTACAGAGAGGATGAAGCTTCCTCCTTCCCTGTGCGGAACTTCCGTCATCAGCCTCTGCCTCAGCAGCAGCAGCAGCAGCACCTTTACCTGCCCAGCCATCTCACTGGCCCCGCGGTCTCCTATTCTTAATAATATAATATAATCCCCGTGCAGTGGGATTATACAGCGTTGTCCTGCATGTCCAATGTCTTCCACCGATCCTAGTGTTTTCAACGTTAATCCGAATTACAGGATGTATGAAAACTCCACTTCTTTTTGTGACTGGGAACGGTCTATTATATATACACCATGTTTTATTACCCACTTATGAATACTTGAGCTATTCCTCTCTAATGAATCTTGTAAAAAAAAAAAAAAAAAAAAAGACATGAGCTGGGTCAAGAGAGACTGCAGCTGCTGAGAGCAGTTACTTCCAGAGGACCCAGGTTCAGTTCCTAGCACCTACAGCAGCGACTTCAGGGGATCTCACATCTTCTTCTGGCTTCTCCAGCACTCATGTGTATATTCATGTATGTGCACACGCGCATGCGCACACACACACACACACACACACACACACACACAATTTTTTTAAAGACATAGGACAATTATTTTCTTGTTTTAAATAATTTTATGTTTGGACAAAGATGGCAATGTCAAGATGGCCTAATTCAACCATCTCCTTACCAGAGGGGGAAACTGAGGCACTGAGATGGTTAAATGATTTGCTTTAGCGGCTGTTCTACCACTAAAATAAAGCTGGAATTATTTCCTGTCATCTCTTTTCAAATGGTAGCATGTGATAAACGCATGCCAATTTGACTGGACAACCTTTTCCCCAAGAGGTGAACTGTGTCCACTGTAGGAAAATGTAAGTATCGATCTAACAGTCTCTTCAACAGTGGGCTCCTTATGAGTATGGGCTTAATTTAGTGACATTTATAAGGAATATAAAAGAGGCAGAGTGAGCGCACACAATTTTGTAGACTAGGTCATAAAAGGCGCCAAGGCTCCCTGCCTGCTGCTCCCTCTCTGGATGACCTGCCCTGGGAGGACATTCTCATCGTCACTGCTGGTGCCCACATGGCAAGGAACTCAAGCATCTGGCCACAGCCAGTCCACAAGGCATCTCAGAACGAATCCTCCAATCCCATCCAAGCCT